AAATGAATGTACAACCGTTACCCACGGTGCTGACTACTGTCTGTGAAATTTTGTCGAGAAAATATGGCCATTTCCATAGGTTGGTTCGGCTGACATTAGCGGAAATAAACCATTATGAAAATGTTCCGTAAATAGAAGCATGACCAAACGTGCTGCGGTTTTCGGGGTCTCCACCTTTTGCCGTAGTCGGTTTCGACTTTCAAGAGGGTGGCGCGGCTCGACTGGGAGGGATTATAGAGCTTTGCCAGGATATCAATTATAACCAGAAACAGTTATTCTGTGCACCGAAACCCTTTTCCGCCCCTTTTCCTACCCTTTCCCTTGCACCGTCCCGACCATTCCTAATCCTCTGTAAATTATATTATTTTCACTGTTTGTTTACCGGTCTCCCTATTCTCTTCCCTTCTGCGCAGGATTTGCGGCGACTTTCCGGCTTTTACCAACTCTCACCCCCCTCCTTTCGCAGGAGACTTCCTATTAAAATCATTACTTCGAATGTCATTTATCTCGCGTAACTTTCTGCATTCGATCTTCGATGAAAAGAATATTATTTGTTCGTTAATTGCTCCATCGTCACGAATAATATTACACGTATGTACCGAGTTACATCCCCTTTTTACCGGACCTATTATGCAAATACCGGTCGTTGCAGCCGGTGCAAAATTATGTACATCGTTACCGTCGAGGCGACGACGTTGTTCGACGTGGAGTCGCGTCAAAATCTCTGCGTTCGCCGAAAAATCTTGCGCCTCGTACAATTCTTTCCACGCTACACCCTTTAACGCCCTTATTTCCCCCGGTGCCGGTGTTCCCGGACACGAGTAGCGGTGGCCCTATTATGCAAATGCGTCAGGTGAAACGGCCTGGACCTAGCTATGATCGTTCAGAGACAACCCCTTTCCTCCTCTCCTGCGGGTGTAGTTTATACCGTGAACGGGGTGCTTCAACGTAGAGGGTTGACACAGGGAAACACGCGTGCTATTTTAACAAGATGATTTGTGTAAAAAAATTGTGTCACTTTTATCGGTATATAAATTAATTTATTGTCTATGCCACTTCACGTTTGATCGCCTCAAAACAATCCCAGTTCGTGTTCGACTAAACAACGTGGTCGGAAGCGGGATTGCAGCCGAGATCTTCCGTTATCGATGTACGAAATGTACATTTGCACTTATGATCGTTCGTACACGTACGGTCGTTCTCAACACGCCGACCAAATGTCTGCGCATTCCGGGAAGATCGGTTCGGACGCTAAGAGAGATTGGAAGAGTGAGGGAGAGAGACAGGGGGCGGGGGTGGAAGGCACGTGCGAGTGAGAATTCGCTGCTAACCAGTCGGTGGGAGTGTTGTTGGGGTGATAGCGGACGGGGGTGGGTGTTTACTTTTGGTGTTGGGCAAGTAGCGCCCGGCATGCATGGTTCCCTCTGATAGCAAACACTGAGTATCGATCAGTATGACTCTGGTAAACAACTATTGTAGAGTAGTATAGTATAGGATGGGTTTTGTCCCCTTCGACCCCCCGCTGCTTCCTCGCTGTCCCATTCCATGGTACCGCTCTACACCCCTCCGCTCCTCGCAACCCCTTTCGTTCTCGCTGCCAGCCCTGCGTCCACCCATTCCGATCCTCAACAACTCCGTCGTGTACTCGCGATATGCCTGCTTACGTGCCGGCCAGGGCCGTCCTAAACCAAGAATCTTTCGAAGACTAGTGTACTAAACAAGCAGAGGATCTTTGACGGGTTAAAAGAGACATCAACCTCGAGTAATTTCGACCTAATCAATTTTTTCATTAAATAAATAAATTCTGCTTCTACTGTAACCGTAGAGTTACGCGGGAAGGTCTGGTTAAGTAGATTCAGACGTTAGTCAGATCAGTACAAAGTACTCCCTATTCAATTAGTTTTCTTTTAAAATAGTTTAATTAATAAATTTCCAACGAGTGTTAAGGGTGTTTCAAAATTCTCGGTGACTTGTTGTTTTTACAAAACAGTGCAATTAAAGTTTGAGAAAAATTAGTAGTAAGACTGGAAATAAGTACGTCCCTGCAGCGGATGCTAATCATCTTGGCGAAGGGTGTCTGAAATTGTCGCCCCATCGCGCAATCCCCAAGCTCGACAACCCCAGCGACTCACCCTAACGGCTCGCTTAACCAAACAACCTTGATAAATTATGCAAAAATCAACAACACTACGAAATGCACCACCCACGCAACCTGGATAGATCGAGGGGTTGAACAACGCAATCTTTGCACCGCTGGTCGTTGAACATTTTTTTCTTCCTACGGTTCTCTAGAAAATTATAAAATTGCGGTGTTAAATGCAGATCGTAATCTTCTTTGTACACGCTTACGTTTCACGACAATCAAAGGGAAATAAAAGAAAGTTAATGTTCGTTGATTTTATTCTCTTTTTTTCCGGGTGTGACTTAATTCTGGCAAATGAAATATTCGAGCGAGGATTGATAATATGATTTTTAACGATGCGTACGATTAATAAATGCGTAGCAATTAGTCAGTAGTGATTCACGGGCATTTATTGAGGCCGATGTAATTTTATCAGAAATTTTCAACGAGTGTAGTTTTATTACCGTGCGAATGAACCACATTAAGCGTTTATGCTGGTCGTGCATTGACGCGAACGATGTGTGACCCGTGAAATCCGCGAGCCAATAAATGAATATAACCCACGCGTGAGAATAAAATCCATCGCTAAACTGTGCAACAGGTGTTAGAGGTTATTGATAATCTTTTCATCAGAATGACGGTGTTTGTACGATATTTCGCCGAATATCGGGGCTTTTAAGCGGTTACGATGCCCTTTTGCAGGAGGATACTGTTTTGTCGCAATTCCCCGGATATTACTTATTTTATCGCTGATTAACGATCGATCCTTTCCTTTATTTATTACGCGTTCGATTGATCTTCCACGCTGTGACGTTGTTGCAATAATTATTATTGACGCTGAAGGGATTCTATATTACATTTCCCAGCTACGATTTCCAATTATAGCATCGATGCTGTTTAAATAACAGTGATAATTTATAAAAAAAATATTTAATAACAACCATCGATTCAGAAATAATTTTAGATAGTATTTTATCGGAATTGAAATTATATCCCAATTCTATTTATTACACGCTTCTTGCTACCTACGCTTTCTCTTTATCTGCCTTCTCTCAACATCCCTCTTTCTCCCTGGCCACCATTGAGGGTTGTTATCAATACCGCAGCTATGCTCTCAGCATTGTGCAACTGTTTGGTCCCGTGTCGAGAAACAAGACGAACAACAACAAACAACAACAAACTAGCCGATGTGAAGTCTCTCGTTCTCACCCTCTCCGCCCTTGCTTTCTGCGACCTGCTTTCCCCACATTGTCCTCACCCTCCCGTCATCCGCTATCGCTACGATTATAACCATGACAGTTTCAATCTTGTGTACCATACGTTCCTTTCTTCAATCTGTCTCACTGTCTACCACAACTTTCCTCTAACTCTAACAGTATCTGTCTGTATTTGGTCTACTAGAATTTTCGAAGAAATAGAAGGAACGAAATTTCTTGCAATTTCCAAAGCTTGTATACGATTGTTCGTATCACGAATGAAGGATGTTACGAATCGATGACTATCTCAGACAGTTCACGTGCGACAATGATGAATTGCCACTGCTGTGATGAATGCATCGGAATGGGTCGTCAGCTTTAGCGCCGCCTTAGAACTAAGTCGAATCGATAGCAATAACAGAATAGAGGCATATGTACGCTCCAAAATCAAAATCGATACCTTTAACCCATACGTGGTCAACTAAGCATCTGAATACACATCGAAGATATAATATTTAAAATAATTGGTGTGAATTACAAGTTAGCCCTGAAGGGTTGTTAATTGTCAGCATTTCAAGATGATGAATAGTTGACAGAAAGAATGACAACGTCGAGATATGAAATAAAACCGACTCGGAAGATTTTTCTACTGAAAAATGCATTTACGAGGGTAACTAGGCGACGGAGTATCCGAGAGGAGGCGGGTGACAAGGAGCAAGAGAGACGTGGACAGAGAAAAGAACGACAGACATGAAGACACAGAAGTAGCTAACGTACAAGTAGCAAGTCTTCGCGGACGAAGCGTGTCTGACAGAAACGGTAATATAACGAGGGACGAGGAACGAATGTACGTTTAGACGATAAGCGGAAGAGAGAGGGATAGAAACGACAAGGGAGGGATGGAGACAGAGGGAGTGAGTATGAGTGCGCCGACTCAGTAGCCGCGTGTTCGGTGCGGCCGTAGGGTTTCGCGGCCAAGCGGTGCCGAGCGTCGCACAGTCGCGACGGCAGCCACCGGCGCGCGGTACCCCTTTTTCTTTAAACCACACTCTCAATTCCGTACGGTTCAGCGCACGTTTCCTGCGTCGACAACAACCACGACCACGACGAGGATAAAGACGAGGACGTGGACGAACAGGACGCTGGTCAGTTGAGATATCGAGAGAGGGCGCCTTCCGTCGTTACCACCACCACCATTAACTAAGACACCGTTACTATATATCATCACCACCACCACTACCAACCCTTCAAACCCTCCCTTAAAAAAAAAAAAAAAGAAAGAAATACCACGCAGCACCTTCGAGGAGCATCACCCACGTTGACACCTAAAATCGTCCTTTATTTGGCCCACGATCAGACCGGATCATTGTCGTCCTGGCTGCGTTGAACGCCGCTGGTATCCGCTTGAAAAATCGGCACCGTCGTTCTTCTCCCCGTAGAGAGACACGTGGCGCGGCGCACGCGGACGCTCGTCGAACGGATAAACGAGGACCGATAAACCGGACAGATATTTAAACGAGAAACAGATAAATAGATAAATATCGGCCGGGAAAGGTCCAGTGGGATAGGAGAAAGAGAGAAAGGGAGAAGAAGGGGTGGGAGAGAAGGAGAGGGACGAAGGAAGAAGAAGGGGTAAGGCAGAGAAGAAAGGTAGAGGAGGTGGCAGTGGGACAGAGAACGAGAGGGGGCGGGTGGGTGAAGAAGACGAACGGACAGGGTGGAAAAGTAGGAATTACGAGGACGAAGAGTGTGGAAGATAGAGGAGATACGGGTAAAGGGTCTTCTTGTGTCTTCGTTTCGTTTCTTCGGGAAATACTCTTACGAAGAGAAGGACGGAGGAACAAGCGACAGCCACGAGCGAGACGACGAGGAGGAAGCGGGACATGCTGGAACCACGCTGGAGGCCCGTCCAGGTAGAGAATTACTCATCCTGCAACACTTCTTCCGCGTCTTCGCTGCACTGCTTATGACATCTGATGTCTGATTGACTGACTGCCTGACTACCTGCCTGCCTATCAATGATCAAACACAATCGTACGGTTGCATCGTGCACTCTCTTTCTCGCCCTCTTTTTCTCTCTGTTTCTCCGTTCGTTTGTCTCTTTTGTCTCATCATTCTCTGCCGCTTGCTTCATTCACCGTTCTTTGCATTGCTCTTACTCAATGATGATCGCCACGTGCCATCGACGAGTCCCTTTGCACGCTGTCGTTACCAGAGAGAGACTGTTGTTCAGTTTTTTTTTTTTCCAATCATTTGCATCTATCGCTTCCTTCTCGTTGGTGTGCGTGCCGCTTTTGTTTCACCCTTTCCCTCTATTTGTTCCATGCTTCGAATTGTTTCGTTTTTCTTCCTCTCTTTTTTTTGCCATGGAGAATTTAGCATCTCCTAGCGTAAACGTAGACGTAGAGTAGAATAGGGCTCTCAAGATGGGCATATAAATACAGTGTTATGATTTGTTTATGTATCGCGAGCAACATTTATTTCGCGTATAAATAAGTGGTCGGGGATAAAATCAAAATTCGGTACTGGTACATCTTTAACGACGAGTAGCGTGAGTTTCAATTAACGAAATCAGGTCGTTACGAGAATAGAATGAACGAGAGTGAATATTAAATTATTATTGGCATAAACGATCGATTCCCGAAAACCGATCGATTATTCTGCGAATGGATTCGTTAAGAGGAAACGTGTCGTGTAGGTCTGACGTTTCGATAAAATCGCGCTTAGATTTGTCGTATTTCGTCATTAAGAAACGTTAGAGGTGTCTCGTTATAATATGAATAAATGACCCTTTGCTTCGAGATTTTCTGATTGATCTTACGTCGAGAGGACCGAGTGATATTCGTGGAAATGACACTTTAACGATCTTGACAAGACAAATAGGTGCATCGGACAAGCAGAATGGTGGGTCAAATAAATCTCGCTACACCGTTCCAAGATTAACTACGTTCGAGTAACTAAATGCGTACCTATCTTAAGTACAGAAATCTTTCCGACAAAACGCATTTTTCCTAAAAATAATCTTGGCATTAACGGGTTGCTTTGACTTTGCTTGGAGATTCGAACGACATAACATCACAGGTTAAATCGTTCTCTTATTAGCTCAATTATTCTCCCAACTTATTTTACAAAATGTTTAACACGTTCACTGTCCAGGACTTTAAGTTCCCATGAAACGATAAGTCGACGTCAAAGTCTTATTTCATTTCTGATACACCATTGTTTTTAATTTATAATAAATAAACAGTGAACCTGTTAATGGAAACACACCCTGTCATTCGTATCATCTGAAATTGATTGCTTTTAAAAAAAAACCTGGTTAAATTGCAACCAAAGGACCATTACTTGTAACGTCCCGGTTCCCCTATTTATCCGTGGTATCCGACGAAACATCCAGGGTGGCATCTAACTTGCTATATTCGTTCGGTAATGGCAGTTACGCTTCAATCGAAGAACGGTCCGCGTTACCTGGGAATAGAGGTGATTTTTCTCGGAAGGATATAGTCAATGGGAGTAGACGAAGCTATGGGAGGATGATGGTGTACCAGAGGGGGATGGTGGTAGGTACGAGACTGCAGAAGTCCCGGGGTGTAGAGTAGGTGGAACAACGCAGAGACGGAGGCGGTCCTACCCTACTTGGGGGCGTTAAAGAAGTAGGTGGGGTTGGCCACCCCCGCGCGTCAACCCTTGCACCCCCGCATCACCGAAACCCCTGTGGATCGCCCGGTTCCCTTCGATCCCATATTCGCCAATCAACTAACCCACCCTGCTTCCCTCTATCCTTTCTCCTTTTCTCGTCTTCGAGTATTTCTCCAAGGTTCCCGGTGCAGCCATCTGCTTCCGGTCCCTTCTTTGGCTTGACCAAAGATTTCGTCAAAATTCAAACCTGGCTGTTCTCTGACAGCCTTCAAAGAAGCGACGACGACGAGGACGACGAGGAGCTGATTTAGGCAAAGTGCTGGAAATTCTGACACGTGTTCTTTGGTTGAGAGACGTTCGTTCACCGGGTACCATGGTTCCAATCGATTCGACGTGTTATTTCGTGGTGTCTGGTGCGCGATACCGCCGTTCCATCGTCCACGATCAAGCCGAGGCATTACCTGGCAACGATTCGAGCCAATGTCACGCCTTCCACGTCGCAACGTCGAAGGTGCAGATCGGGCCAAAGGGTGTTGCTTGTCAATCGTGGTGTATATTTCGCATCATCCCCGCCACGCTCCGTACTCGCCCATCTTCTCGCCTCAGATACGCGCGGCTCTTTTAAGTGTACGTGGCAACGTGCACACACCTTCCACGCATACGTGGCCAGGAGCAAGGTGGCGGGTGTGTATGCAAGCCGCATAGGATGAAGATACATACGGTACAGTGTACCAACACAGTTCTGCCACTATAACCCCCGTTTTCGCGCTTGCTTGGCACGGCACAGCATCCCTCTTCGGCTACTTCCGGCCAGACCAGGCTCCGCCCACTTTTATATTAATCACGTCTTGGTTCGCTCCTGGCTTCTGTTCTCCATCTTTCTTCCCCAGTGAGCGATTTCCTACCGTGGACGCCTGGGAACCACACCTTTGCCCGTTGGCTTATTCATGCTCCAGGTTTGCCACTCGAGCCTTCATATATGCATATTTCTTTTTTTTTTTTCATTTCGTTGCCGCTACACCCGCGAATACAGAGAGGCCCACGATGCATTCTTCGCGCGTCCCTCCTGGTGAATGATACGGATGGTACCTGGTATCAAAGGGGTAGGTTCAGGGTAGGTTTCTGTGATCGAGTCCGGTCATGCGTGGCTTTAAATAAAATTTATTCAATTAAGAACGAATTTTCGTACACTCTTAAATCAATCATGCCTTCGATAATGTTGGCAAAAGGTTACGGATGGTCGTCGGCATTTCGTACAGCGTAAATTCCCAGCTAGTTTATAACGCGTCGCTTTTTTCCCCTGGCACTCCCGAAGGGGAGTCGTGCGATATTTCACGAATCGTCGTGTCCTCGACGGCTCGAGAGTAGTCGAAAAAAAAAAAAAAAGGCGAGCGATTCGCGCCACCGTGTAGGTGACTGCGACGTTCGTGCGTTTCGAACACGGTGTGCCAGAGTAATGAATAATAACCAGTTATTATTGCCAGGTCGAGCAATAAACACGCAGCTCACAAACACACCGCCTCCCACCCCTCTAGCCGCAATAAGGGTTGTCACGCATAGGTACGACATTTGTTTCCAACCCGGTGTCGAGTGTGCACGTTACGAGCACCACCTTTCTACAGATATTGGCTCCATTGTTACGCGTTGTGTATCGTGACTGCTTCTCCGCCACTTTCGCGATCTACCGATCCTCGTGCCGCCTATCATCCGTCACAGCCACTTCAATGCTACTTCGCATTGTCCTCGTTGATTCTACAATTCGTCGCGATCGTTCGTTTGTTTTTTTTTCTTTCTTTTATTGTTTGCCTTCCGATTTCCCTTGAACGCGGGAGACTCGTTGCAAAGCGTCGAGAAGATCAGGGTTGACAAAATCGTACACTCTCTTCACGAGTGTTCAACTTAAATTTTAATGAGATATTACGAAAAATTTATGGTCCATCGAGTATCCGATGGAATATTCATTTTTTTATTTTTTAATAAGAGTAATGTTTGATGCACGTACAAGGGTGCAATAGTGAAATTGTTTGGGAAATTATGGAATCGCGGCGGAAAGCTGGAGAGTATCGACACGAGCGATATCGATGGTCGCCGCACGAATTTCGTAGAGGTTGGTTCATTTTGTCGCGATAATACGCATTCCATGTCATTCCGACGGCGCGTGTACGGCAATACATCATCGCCCCCGCGACGGGTATTTGTCAATAGAAACAGGCATCGACGCCGCAACTGCGGCAAGTATACGTCAATATACATAACGACCGCCTGTTGACTTGTTACGTTGTCGAGTACCGTCGATGATTCGATGATTTGCCGATCCATGACTGCTCCGTGTCAAATATGCCCCACGGTTGTTCTCGTAGCCGCGTTAACACGGGAACGCCGGTGGCCGTTCATTTGCGATCGGCGCACTAACGCGATCTCGTCGTTACATTAAATTATCATCCAGCGATTGCGATGTACCGAACGGTTTGCACGACGAACTCGTTATAACAAGATCATGGCGTCGCCTCGACGACAATATCCCAGATATCCCCGGTGCATCATGAATAATTCGAGAGCGTAAGGCTATCAATTCGAAAGCGGATCGTTTCGACGTCGATTAGGAATTTCCCTCCAATTGTGACATTTCATGGTACGCGATGATGGAATCTATTTTTCATTTACGTTTCCTCTTTTTCACACAAATATTATATTTGCAATTTGAAATTCGATTGCCTAATTTAAATTAAAGTTCCTTTTCCTCCCAATATCCATTGGCACTTTTTCGCAAACACCGCATGAAATCTTTCTCTTCCCAAAAAGAAAAGAATTTTCTCATCGACGTCGTTGCGCGGGAACGGGAGGAAAGTACCAGAATCGTGGCGCACAAAGGGCGTTTCACGTTCCCTATGGGACACCGAGGAGCGATTCACAGGGATGGGCTCGGAAAAAAAAGAGCCGATCATTATCCACTCGTTCTGCATTGGTCGCGTTACCCGATGCAACCTCGTTTGCAGCCTTCTCCTCCACCATAATAGAGATTCTACGCGATGCTGGACATCGAGAGCGAGCCGTCGTATTAAAAGCATTCGTGTTTGAGCTGGTGATCCCATCGCGTATCAATTATTACGCAGATTTGTACACAAAGGGTGGCCACCACCGCCCATGCGTCGGCCGGATATAAACCGCAATAATCGTCTGCGCTCAGTGTCTTGTCATTCGAATCGCGTTTCGTTTGTTGACAATTTCTGATATACAGTAAAACAGATTGGCAACTAAATTTTCTGCCTTGACG